AAATGTTAGAAATCATTTAAGAAGATCATCACTCTTGTGAAAAATTTTTGTTTTATGTGTGTTAGCTTCCTGATGATGAAGACTTATTATTTCCACCCTGTTGTGGGCTGTGCTCACTGGTCTGTATTTTAGGGGATGTACAATGGAAGTATAGTGGGGACTGATAGGTTCAGATATGGAGACAAAGTGTTGTATGTCTCTGTGCACACAGACCAATGATGGACTCCCAGTGAGTGAAAGAACTGGACATACCCAAACAGTAAGATGATGGGCTCTCTGACATTGTCCATGCCTACATTGTCAGGGAACACTTCAATAGCAGCAGGATGGACTTGTAACTTTTCATGAAGGGCATTCATTGTAAAACTAGAGGGGAAATCAATGAAAGGGCGGGGGAGGGAGCTTGGGCAAGAGCACAGGCAACCCCAGAGCCTGTGGAACTATATCATAAAAAAAATGAAATATTTTTAAATGTGAAAAAGCTCACCATGTGATTATTCCTCAGGCTTATGGTTATCCAATCATTATGTATAATATAAAAAAGTTTTAAGAATGTTCCTTTCACTATTTCAAAAATGTTGATTAACATAAATACAGATTTCATGTATTTCCTAGTTACAACTCTAAGACAATCATGCTCCCCTTCCTTCCTCCCTGTCTTTCCCAGCGCTTTCTCGGATTGGAAAAGAGGAGTATAAAATGACAAAATCACAGTGGTCACATGGAAGTCCTATAGAACTTACTTTACTGTGCTCTTAGGGTTTTATGATTATGCAAAGTTTTGGCTATTGAAGTATTCTAGTATTCGTACCTTCATAAAGCAATTTTATGGGGCCACAGAAATTGATTTGTTATGTTTTAGCCTGAAAAATATGTAGTCACCTCTCTACACCTAAGTAAAGGGCTCGTTGTATTTAAAATTCATCATAAATTACTTGTATTGGGGAATAATATAAGCAAATACAGGTCCAATGCCCAGATGAAGAACATTTTCTATCAAACATAGTTTGAGAATGAAGTTATCCTTCAGCATTGTGGGATTTTTTTATGTGATAATTGAAACATTGGTTTTTCAGAGTCTCTCTCACAGCCTAAGAAGATCTCAATTTTAAGGACACATGGTTTTAGGAGAGTGAGCAGGCTTTCAGGATTGTTCATGAATTCATTTGGCGAACATGCAGAATCTTTGCTCAGTGATAGGGCAATGCAAAGAAAGAAAACGAGCATTCCTTTTTTTCTCCTCTCTAAAGGTTTTTGTGTTTATTTTAATGGAACATTTGAGACAGCGGAAAAAGATATTTCATCAACTAGTTCACTTTCCAAATGGGTGCTATGGCCTGCTGGGACTGGGCCTGGAAGAAGAGAAGTGTATATTCTAAAACTCCATCCATGCTTCCTGCATGGGTGGCAGGATCCAAAGCACTTGGGCCACCTTTCCCTGCTTTCCTGGGTAGCAAAGCTGGATACCTAACCGGAACAGAAGCAGCTCCCGTTTAGGATACCTACATTGCAAGCGGTGCTTTACCCACTGCACCATAAGGTTAACCCTGAGCTCTTACTTGAAGAGTGACCGTCTGCTGGGGAGACGGGTAGTGAACAAATTCAGGGAGGTTTCCTAAGCCCTGTTAATTGGAAACTTTGAATTAATGTGAAAAATAAAATGACTGATTTGAGAATGAAAGTGAAAAAATATACCCGAATGTTCTTGTAAGAGTCTGGTTTAGAGTCCAGTAAGCTCTGTCCTGTATTTGAGGGCTATTAAAAAAGCTTAACAGCCTGTTTGGGAACCTTGGACTTACTGGAGATAATTCACATACAGAGAGCAGCTTGAGCTTTGGTGAGAGAATGAGAAAAGATGGGGGTCACCTTCAAATCCTGCCAGGCTCTAGCCCATGCTAAAAGCTGGTGTGTTCATCCAGTGTCTGCACTCAAGGAAGACATGCACACACAGCTAGGACAGCGGAATGAGGCGGAGACTTTTCGAATTACTTCCATGCTCCTGACAACTCCCTTCCTGATGTATTTATTCTGTTGTGATGTTCTGGATCCTGTGAGTGCCAGGGTCTCGATGAATGATTTCACTTTTTCAGGATTTATTTGTGTAGACTAAGTGAGGAGATGGGAATGCTAAGATATGTGTGGGATGTTTGCACTCCAAGAAAAGGAAAAGTTCAACAGGAGCTGCTGAGTGCTTATCATATAACACACGTGTTTGGATTAAAAGTAAAGCACATTGAATGGGCCTTAGGAAGTGCCACACACTGTTACGTGTCTTCACATCCAGCCTCTCATTTGATTCTTTCAATAACCCTCTGAGGCGAGGCTACTTGGTATCACTATTTTGTAGGTGAGGCACCTGGACACTAACTTCTTTTTCTAATAACAGACACACTCAGTTAATAAAGGGTGACACCATTTTAAGCCCTGGCCTTTTGACTTCACAAGAACTTTGAAAACTTGGGTCAACTGCTCAATATTTCCCAGCCCATTTCCTCATCTATAAAATGGGAGGGATGGTAATTGTTCCAGTTTTGTGAGGTTGGTTTCCATGCACCTGCTTTGCTTAACATTGACTTATAGCTACTTCCTCAGTCTTCCAGGATGACTGAGGTACTGGAACTGCTTCTGTGATCAGCACTTGATGCTCCAAGAGGGGGAGCATAAGATCCATGGTCAATCAATGGTAGCTGCTGTCTTTGTCAAATGTCACTTATTTAATGCGTATCTGGAAACTGTAATTATTTAAAACCAGAATCATATTTATGCATATTCCATCATGTTTGAGACTGAACTTTATTTTTCCTCTCCTTCTTGTCATTGGGTTGGGAGTAGGTGGTAGTTGTCACACTGTTGCTGCTTTTGCAGAATGCACTGTCACAATAGAGGACATGAGAGATCGTCCAAACCAAGCACTGGTGCTTTCTTGCTTTTGATTCAAAAGCTTTGAGAAGCAGATGCAGGGAATGTAAGCTCTGCTGATACACACTTCTTCAGGGACTTTGTAGAGTGCTCTGTGTTTGAAGCACACTCCAAAAGAGGTCATGAAATTAGCATGTCTTGAACCAAAAGGATGACTTCATTTTTGTTTGGTTATGCTGTATTTATTCCTGTAAATCTGTAGCAGTGTGGTATATTAGAGATGATTCTCCAGAGACACAGAACCAAGGGCTTTCTGCTCCTCTCTCGCTCTCACTCTCTCTCTCTCACTCTTGCTCTGAGAGACTATTTTAAGAAATAGGATCATGTGACTGCTGGAACTGGCAAGTCCAAAATCTATAGGGGAGTTCAGCAGACCTAAAATGCAGCAAAATTTCTGTTAGTCTTGAGGCCAGGTTATTTCATCTCTCAAAAACCTAATATTTATTAAGGCCATCCAGTGATCAAATGAGGGCCACCAGCATTATGGAGGGTAATTTACTTTACGTAAGAGTCTACTGATTGTGCTTGTTACTTTTGATTTACAGTGCACTTGTTATTTCAATAAACTCATCATACATGGAAACTGCTCTTTGAGTTAAGCATGTGTTTTAATGCTTCTAGCCCTGTGGCTTAGCCACACAGGGCACCATCCAGTCAGTTGTTGACCCTCATGGTCATGGGATTTACAGGGAACTGTGGCTCAGTGCTGCTGCCTGGCATTACAAGAGAGCATTGGACTGTATATCAAGAAAAGATAGAAGTTCAAAATTTGAAATATGATTTCTGTTGTATGCATGCTGCTCTTCCACCATTATGAATTTGAAAAATGGTAAATCAAACTTTTGCAAGCCAAACTGCCTGTGTGTTCACAGGAATATCTTTACTAGTGTTTGACCAAGCAAGTGGGTAACATAGCCTCACCAAGCTGGTACTAATTTTTTTTTCTTCCTTTTTTTAAAGAGCATCTTATTAGCATCCAACTTTTAAAAAAAAATGTGTATTTATTTGAAATGCAGAATATTAAGTCCAGGAGCAGGAAAGGGGCTCAGGGAGAGGTGAACCCTCCATTTGCTAGTTCAGTCCCCAAAGCAACAATGGCTGGGTCTAGGCTAGGCTAAACCCAGAAGCCAGGAGTGACTTGGTGGCAGGAACCCTAGGAACTCCTCCACTGTCTGCCAAGGCTCATTAGCGATAGGAGGGATCAGAAGGTGGAACAACCAAGATACAAACTGACGATCTGATATTCAACGGCAGTAATGCAAGTGACAGCTTAACCCACTGCACCACCATGCCTGCCCTAGCATCCACCAGTTCAACAGCTCATCCTGCTTCCCATTCTGTGCCAGTGTCCTAATGACTTTATCTGGAGTGCGGCAAATTCCCTCAGTTTTTCCCAGTTGAGTTAGGAGGCTAAGGGAGAAAAAGGAGAATTTTGAGAAGAGGAGAAAAGCCTTCATCATACAATATATAAACTACTTATTCTTATTTTTTCTTGTTTTCCAGAACAAGGATAGTTCATGTTTCTAGGGGTTCAGCTATAATCCAGCTGGGCCTACAGGGATGCACAGGAGTGTGATAAAGCTTGCAGTATATGCCTGACATCATGGGGTCACGAAGGAGGTGATGAAGAGCTGCCTTGGAGTGGATGAAGATGGAGGGTTGGGGATGACTCCTTTGACAATGAAGCCTGGAAGCAGAGGATTGGTTTGCAGCCTCCCTCTGGAGAAGTACAGGAAAAATAGAGACGCTGGGAATAGAATAAGATGTGTAGTCAGACAAGGGGATGCTGGGGCTACCAGCAGGCTGGCAAGGGTGAAAGGCCAGGACTAGGAGACTCAGCAAGCCCAGGGCAATGATTAGGGCCAGATCGTGGCTTCCAGATTCTATCCCATCAGGGAGCAAGATGAACGATGAAACAAATTGGAACCAGAGAACAATATAGATTGTGCTCTTTAAAAAGGATTAGTATTTATTTGTTCGAAAATGACTTGAGGGACAGAGACAGAAAAATACAAATAGACAAGGATAGAAAGAGCTCATAATAGCTCATAATTTCTTGCTTATATCCCCAAAAACCCAGAATGGCCAGTTCAAAATCAGGAGTCTGTACGGTAATCCAGATTTCCCATGTGGGTGATGAGAACTCAACTACTTGAGCTATTTTTCTGTCTCCCAGGGGAGCCAGAGATTGAACCCAGGCACTCTGAAACGGGAGGCAAGTGTCATAAAACCACTGTCTTGAACACTAGACCAGATCCTCACTCCACAAGAGGATTAGTATTCAAAAATCATACACTATAGTTGTTTCAAACCTACATAGAATAGGACTTGGTATTTGGGCATCTGTGGGAAAATGAATTGCAGTGCAGCCTAGACACAAACAGGTTTCTAAGGTCCTATGAAGTAGTTAGGTTGAAGGTTAATGTAAAATGGTCACAACTGAAATAAGGATTCAGCACAACAGATACAGAAAGAACCTTTTCTGGTCCTGAAAATTCTATTTGATTGTCAGAGCATCATGAATTCTGTGTGCTTAATCACACAACATTATTTGTGAGAGCCCTTTGTATGGTGCTCATATGTAAGCTTCATTTTACCCCAATACACATAGCACAATGCTAATCATGTAACAGATACTTTGGTGAAGTTGTCTTACAAACATTGAATCCTGGGGCTTATATTATGGTGCAGAGGGTTAATCCACCATGTACCATGCTGAATTCCATCTGGACATAAATTCAAGCCCTACCTTCTCCAATTCTGATCCAGCTCCCTGCTAATGTTCCTGGTAAAGAAGAGAAGATAATCCAAGTTCTTGGGCCCTTGCAACAAGTGGGAGGCCCAATGAAACATCTGGATCCTGGTTTCAGCTTGGCCTAGCCCAAGCTGTTGTAGCCATTTGGGCAGTGAACTAGTGGATGGGAATCTGTGTGTGTTGTGTGTGTCTGTCAGTAAGTCTGCCTTTCAAGTAAATAAATAATCTTTAAAAAATTGTTGAATTCCATACTTATATCAAATTTATTCCCAACAAGTATTAACGATCTGGAGAGTGAAGTCGGGTGCGGGGGTAGGCGGGGGCAGAGTGGGGTGTAAGGCACTCACAGTATCCTGTGGCAGATACTGATGCTGATTGGTGCTAGCCAGGGTATCATTTTCCTTTTAACATGCTCGATGGTTTCTGCTAGTTAACAGCAAAAAGAAACTTCACATCAAGGAACAGCATGTCCTCCTGAGGTTTCAGGCCAATCGATGGTTTTACTCTGGGTATCGACAGCTCTCTACTGAATGCCCTTGTCTCGCCTACGTGGGCTGACTGTTGTGAAATGGATTATCCTGCATTTATTGCTTCTGAGGCTTTAATCAGTGTCCAGCCAGTCTGTGTGTGTTGGACCCACAACTTTCCTTTGCCTTTTAGTTTTTGAAAATGTGAGGCTATTGATGATGCTGCTTTGTGTCCTGGGACCCTGGCTGATCAGGTTTTCACTCAGAACTTATGCTTCTTTGCAGGATGCCACCATTTGGAAGCCCGATTCATGCCAGAACTGCCGTTGCCATGGTGATATCGTTATCTGCAAAGCAGCTGTTTGCAGAAACCCTCGGTGTGCCTTTGAGAAGGTATGATGTCCTGGCTGCGTCTTCTGTGTATTTATTGGAGATCTCAGTGAGTGGCAGGGTTTCTGCTAGCCCAGCTTCTCTTCAGAAGCTTGATGCAATGTGAAAGTTAATTTTTAGCATCCTATCTAAGAGTATGCTCATTTTTTATTGGGCACTTATTTTGCACCCAGGTATTCAGCTGAAGTTTTGCAAATGTTATCCCACATAGTGTTATACTGGATAGCTTTCTCTACCCCACTTTTAAAATAAGGAAAAGGTTAGTATGGTGGTGTAACAAGCCAATCCTCCTCCTGCAGTGTCAGCATCCCCTATGGACTCAGGTTTAAATCCCTGCTGCTCCACTTGCAATTAGCTCCTTGCTTGTAGCCTGGGAAAACAGTAGAAGATGCTCAAATTCTGCACCCATGTGGGAGACCAGGATAAAGCTCCTGGACTCCAGCTTCAGACAAGCCAAGCACTAGTTGTTGTGACCATTTGGAGAATGTACTAGCAGATAGAAGATTCTTTCTCTCTCTCTCTCTCTCTCTCTCTCTCTCTCTCTCTCTCAATCTGTATTTCCCTTAATTTCTCTGTATTCTTTCAACTACAATAAGTAAATCTTTAAAAAATGAGAAAACTGAAGCCTAGAAAATTTGTCATTAACTGTGAATATGCAACTAATAAGCCATTACTCTAAGTCTCACAAATGCTAAATTACAGCATTTATAAACCATCAGATGGACTATACTGCAAATTATCTTGACAATGCTTTTTTAAATAAAGATTTATTTATTTGTAATAGAATTAGGGGGTGGGAGCGAGGGAGAAAAAGAGAGGGATGAAGAAGGGAAGGGAGAGAGAGCAGACAAGAGAGAGAGATAGAAAGACCCTTCGTCAGCTAGCTCTTTCCCCTAAAGGCCCCAAAGGCTGGGACTGTCAAGCTGAAGTCAAGGATCTGAAACTTCTTTCAGCTTCCCACATGTGTGGTAGGGCCAAGTGCTTGAACCATCTTCACCCTGTATTCCCAAGCAGATTAACAGGGAGCTGGACCAGAAGAGCAGCAGCTAGGACGTGAACTGACATTCTGATGGGATGTGTTATTATAGGCAGAGTTCATAACCCTGACTATAGGCTGATTCTTAACCCCGGCCGCTTGATGATAACTTTCCAAAAGCATCTTTGCCACTGAGAGTATGACTGTACCACCTCTGGCTCCGACTGGAGGAGTCTCCTTATATTTGACCTAGTGAAATTTTCTTTTCCATTTATGAAAAATTTCCAGTTTTTTCTGACTCCATTCAGTTGGACATTTTTTTTAACTAGGTGCTCACTTTTTATTTTAAAAAAATTTTAAATATTTTTTAATTGCAAGTCTGATATACAGAGAGGAGGAAAGACAGAAAATTTCTTTCATCTGCTGAATCTCTCAAGCTGCTGTGACAGACAGAGCTGTGCCAGTCCAAAGCCAGGAGCCCAGAGTCTCTTCTGGGTTTCCCAAATGGGTGCAGGGTTCCAAGGCCTTGGGCCATTCTCAACTGCTTTCCTAAGCTACAAGCAGGGATCTGGATGGGAAGTGGGATGGCCGGAATATGAACCAGCGCCCATGTGGGATTCTTGTGTGTGAAAGGCCAGAACTTTAGCTACTAGGCTACCATGCTGGGCTCAGGTGCTCACTTTTTAAAGTAAATGTATTTTTTTAAGTCACTTAAGCTTTACACTTGAGCATTTGAAACACCCTGAAGAAGAGCAATTATTTTCTTTAAAAATCATTGAGCCTGGGCCCGGCGCGGTGGCGCAAGTGGTTAAGGTCCTCACCTAGCACACCCGGGATCCCATATGGGCGCCGGTTCTAATCCCGGCAGCCCCGCTTCCCTTCCAGCTCCCTGCCTGTGGCCTGGGAAAGCAGCAGAGGACGGCCCAAAGCTTTGGGACCCTGCACCCGCGTGGGAGACCCGGAAGAGGCTCCTGGCTTCGGATCGGCATAGTATCGGCCGTTGCGCTCACTTGGGGAGTGAATCATCGGATGGAAGATCTTCCTCTCTGTCTCTCCTCCTCTCTGTATATCTGCCTTTCCAATGAAAACATAATAAAAATAAATCTTTAAAAAAAAAATCATTGAGCCAGTATTATAGGCATATTTTATTTTTTCCAGTCTCTCCTCCCAGTGACATGATCAGCCTTGGAGCCTTTCAGGTCCTTTAATGCCAGGAAGGTTTGGCTTGTGCCTGACATTGAAGTGAAGATGTACCAGGTGCTCCTTGAGTTTTGCATAGATGTGTTGCGGAGCGGCCAGGAGTAGATCCTATATTTAAATTGGATGGTAGTTTGTTATTTATTATGAAGCTCTCTATTTCATGGAACAAATACTCCTAAAAAATTCACTATTTGGTAAGCAGAATAGCTCATGTCAGAATCCGAGTTGGTTTTCTAAGTGCCATGAGGGAATGTTCTTTCCCCCTTTCTCTTGCATAGTTGTGACTTGATGGAAGAAGCCATGAATTAAATGTTGGAAGATGTAAATTGTATGGTTGGCAGCTAAACATATCCTGTTCCAGGAGCCAGCAGACTAAATCTGACCCTGCCAGACGTATGGCTTATGAATTCAGAACATTGTTAGTTCACTGACACAGTCATTAAGTGTTTGCAATTCCCTGACACTTTTGAATGGCTAAAAAAATCAAGAACAGTATTTGGTGACATGAACATGATAGCAAATCAGTGTTTGGTGTTCATTGAGCTGCACTGACTCACAGGCTCACCGTGGTTTGTGTAGTGTCTGGTTGCTTGGGCACTCCTGTGATGGACTCCTGTAGCTGCACTGTAGACCACACATGGCCACCAAAGCATACAAGATTCACTTCAGTCCCTTTACAGGAAAAAAAAAAAGACTTGATCTTTGCTTTACACCAGACTCGTGGTTTTATCCCTCCTGATGTGTTGTCCTAACTTTTCTCACCTCAGGAAGTCCATGCTCTCAGTCGGGCCACCTTTGACTAACCACTTTCTCCACATCCCCCAGCCAGTCCGCCGGTCCTTGCATCCATTGCTGAGGCAAGCCTTCTGTTCTGAATCTGTTCTGCCCTTTATCACTTTTTACCTGCTGTTAGTTTTTAAAACTGATTTCAGTTTCTGGACTTGCCTTTTTCATTGTACTCTTGAGCTGGCCGTCAGAATGTCCTATAAAAATTGAAGTCAGATCTTGTTGCTTCTCTCCTTCACCCTGGCTAATGACTTCCAGTGGTACTCCCTCTCACAGTCAACTCTCCACAGTGTCATTAAAGGACACTGTCTCTCTCATTAACTGCCTACTAGTCTCTCCCTTGACAATCTGTTCCAGACACCTAGCCTCCTTGCTGTTCCCCGGCGATAATATACATGCCCATATTATCTACTTATATACCTATATGTGTGTGTGTAATTCAAAACTGTGGGAAAATGAAAGTAAAGGCTAAGTTTATTTTGTTGCAAAATATTTAGGAACCATACATAATTTTTTTGGGACACACTTTTTCATGAACTTTTGAGCAGCTTCTGTATGCATTGGTCTCAAGATTATTTTTCAGAAAAATAAACTTAAAATTTATTCAACACTATGATATTTTTGATATATACATATATAAATTTCAGAGGGAATAGTAAAATACAGAGAAAAGACCCTGTGACAGAGAATGTTTGGCATTTAAACACACACACACACACACACATGATTTAGCCTGTTACTCCCTTTGTGTTGTCCAAAAGCCATTCTGTTTAGAATTTCAACTTTCCACTCCCTAAAATACGTTTTGAATCTCTCTTCTATATTTTATGATTTTGGTTGGACTAACTACTATCTGATGTACTGTATATTTACCAGAATGTCTTGTTTACTGTCTTTGTTCGCTATATATCTTCAACATCAACAGTAGCACCTGACACGTGGTAGGCACTCAATAAATATCTTTTGACTTACTGAATGAATGAATGAGAGATGAGGCTATGGACATGGTAAGTTCAAGGTGATAGAGAGCCTTATCTGCTATACTGTGGGTCTTAGAATATTAGTTTTTAGATGATAGCTTTCAGACACAAGGCTGGATGGCCAAAAAGAACCTTGTTGGATTTTCAAATACATAATGTAAGAAGTGAATAGATCAGATTCAGATGACAGATTGAGTACCTAAATTAGAGCATTGGCAGTGTAGGAGCTGAGAGAAAAGAGCAGGTCCGTTAAATATTTGTGTGATAAATCAGCACAATTGGAAGAAGGTAGGAGGGCTAGGGAAGGAAATGGAGAAATACTTCCATATTTATGACTGAATGAGTCACCAGTTATATGCATATTATGTAATTATATATATGTGTGTATATATACAGAGAGAAAGGGGGAGAGAGAGAAAGGGAGAGAGCGAAAGGGAGAGACAGGGAAAGGGAGAGAGAGAGAGAGGGAAGGAGAGAGAAAAAGAGGGAGGGAAGGAGAGAGAAAGTGTTCTATGTATTACTTCCAGAAGTTATGAGGAATGGAACTAAAAGATAAGCTTATTTTCTTATGCAAAATTTTGAGAACTTTCCACATTTATTTGGTAATATACATCCTCATGAACCTTCAGAAGAGCTTTTGTTTTTTGTTCTTGTGGCTTGGTGAATTTGAAGTCTCCAGAGAAAAGCCAGGCAGATAGGACAAAGAGGAGGTTGGATATATGGATCTATGGCAGAAAGGATGGGGCTTGAGATGTAATATGGATGCTGTTGGCACACAGACAGTGGTGCAAACCATTAGAATTAATGAGCTCATCCAAATGGAGACTGTGAGAAGGAAGTAGCAGGCTAGGTCTGGGATTTGAAGGACACAGTCATGGAAGGTTAAGTGAACATAAGAGAAGCTAACTACCGAAGATTACAAAGAAATATCAGAGAGGAAAAGGTGTAAGAAATGTTCAGAGAACAGTATTACAATTGCCAGGAGCATCAAACATTTCAGAAGGGATCGGTGGGGACATTATTGATTAGAGATACAGGAATAAGTGGGAGAAGAGTTTAAT